ATATATCAGGATATATCGTATCGTGACCCCTCTGTCATGATATGTATCATATCGCCAAATTCTTGCCAATACACAAGTTGACATTTTAAACTTTAATAAAAAATCGATACAGGGCTTTAGAATATCGATACAGTATCGGGAAATGAAATATCGCGATATTTCAGTGTATCGATATTTTCTTACACCTCTGAAAACACTACTTCATTAGCTAAGACAAGCAGAATACTGGCTTGAAGTTAAAATGAACATAATGCTAAGACCCTAAATACTAGCTAAAAGCAAAGGGATGCATTCAGATTTGCTGCTAAAATGAAAAAATAATGGCTGAAGCAAAGTAGCCTAACTAAAAGCACCCCCCAGATGTGTTGCATAGAGCAGACAAAACATCACATCATAACTTCAAGTCAGCAGGCTCAGTTGTGAGTTTAGTACAGCAGTTTTAGATTCAAAAAAGGTCACCCGTCTCCTATAGCTTCTCTGTAATGTCTGAAATGTCCACGGCTGAGAAAATGTAGGACACAGGTCAACACAAAGCTTTAGGAGTAAAGCAAACRAGTAGATCCAGGCCAGATAACAAACTCCTCTTTCACAATATTGTATTCTTATACTTCAGCACATGGCAGTAGTTCTAATAAGTGGCTTGCAGGAAGTCATCAGGAGTGTAATTCTGCAATGAATGCAGATAATCTTCAGACTGCAGTCATATGGACTCTGAGAGATTTGGAGCCTGCCTTCACCTTCTGTTATAAGGCAGAGTCTAAACAAATGAAAGAATGCAGAAAGTACACCATGATCTGTTTCATCTAACCTGATAATGAGGCATATTGTGACTTTGTAACAGAAGATTCAAGAGCTAACTTTTAGATTTATGTGTACATAGTTTTAAAAAAGTTAGCTTGTATTAACKAGGCAAGAATATCACATATGTAGAACCACTGTGTCAGGTTTTTAATGATGATTTCTTACAGATATTTAATAAACCATCAGATGAGCTGCTCTTTAGTTGTATGTGACTGCCAGTATTTGTTGAACAAAAGTAGACTGATTTCACCTCAAAAGTAATTTCTTTAATTGTTTGAGAGAAATTCTTTAGCAAAGTGACCATGTGGCTGGTTTGCACAAACTTGACTTCTCAAAGTTCCTTAGGGCACACACAAAAATAATCAAATGTTCTGAATAATGAAATAATGCTAAGCCTGTCAAGGTAATTTATCTTGTCTTTAATTTATTTCAAATTTATTTGTTTATCTTTTGTTGAACTACTCATTTCTCATTGAAATCACAAATTTTCTTTTGAAMAGATTCCTGGGCCTGAAAGCCTAAACATGCATGTTTTTCCTTTCCTTTCCTTTTTTTTCTCTTATTTTGTTTTGAAGAAAACCCACACAAACACAAGTGGAACATGCAAACTCCGTTCAGAAAGAGACAACCCAGTGTTTGAAGCCAGGACCTTCTTGCTGTGAGACAACAGTGCTAACTACTAAACCATCATGCTGCTAATTTTATACCTTAAAGTAGTTAGTATTTGATGAGTACTACTGAATGCTTTTGCTTTGAAACTACAGTATTGGCAGTTTGTCAATCTGCTGAAATGACCATCTAATAAACATCCATCATAACTCCAGATAAAACATTCACATCTCAACAGTATTAATAATTTACTACAACCTTAGATAACTAACAGTMTTTTGTTATTTATTTCCCACAGTTGTAATTTATGATTTTTGTAGCTTGAAGGTTTTGTTTTCTAAATTGTTATTTTTTTTTGTCTTCTTGTTTGTGAAGCCATTACATCTAAAACACGAATGTGGAGAGGGGGAAACAGATAAATATATAACAGTACAAAAACCTCAAATTAAAATCCTGCTGAAACTAAATTATTTTTGTGWAACATATTTTGAGACACTTTATAATGTGCTTGTTAAAACATATACTGTATCCTCCACAGGTCTTTAAGGCTGCAGCTATATAAAGTCAGAAACTGATTTAGTTCTTGCTTTGTCATCCTGAAATTTGCTTTCCATGTTTTTATTTATAGTTGCAATAACATTACCAGACCCAACAGGTCACCTTGGCTTGGTCTTTGGTGATTGTTGCCACTCTGAATTATAATTTAAAAATAATTTTAGTTGGACATCAAGGTATTATTGGGCTGAAAATCCATTCAGGAAAAGTAATCCCATGAAAAGACTGAAAGGTAAATGAATTCCCAGATTGACACAATTTCCTCTTTCAAAATTAGTGTTAAAGGGGACCTGTTATGCAAAATTCACTTTTTAAAGTTTTTTTACTCAACTTTGGGTATGTACTTCTTAAAAAAAACAGCCCTAGGACCAAAAAAAATGCACCCAGGGACATATTTACTGTAAGAAAATGTATTTTTAATGTATATTAACGACAAGTTTTATACTTCGGTCATTTTGTGATGTCACAAGCTGTACGACAACCCACCGGAACCTGCGTTCAGCCCCTTACCTAGCAACCCCCGGGTGAGACTCCACCTCCTTGGTATAAAGAGCCATCGTGATGGTTGTTGTTGTGCGATGTGCAGCTCAGTTCACAACAAGCTCCAATAGGGCAATGGGTAGAGTGTTGGACCAGAGAGTGGGAGACCAGCACGGACACAATTTAATTAATTATTTATTTTCGTTTGTTATGAACACGTTTTCTCATGTACCTCTATTGTTTAGCTTATTAAAGCCTTGTTAAAGCCTATTTGTTTGAGTTTCTGAGGTATTTTGA